GGGGCTGAAAGGGTGAGAGAGCAGGAGAGGTAGAAGGGGCTGAAGGGTGGAGAGAGCAGGAGAGGTAGAGGAGTGAGGTAGAAGGGCTGAGAGGAGGGAAAGTGTGGACTCTGAGCCCCCTGTTTTTTAGCTGATGTTACAAACGTTCAGATAAGATATATGAGCAGATCACTCGGCCCATCGTGCCTGTTCCGCCTTTAACCTCTACATTTCAGCATATCCCTGATAATCTTTCATTGTTGTCTTAAAATATTTGAAGATTTTTATATCCACTGTCTTTTGAGGAAGGAAAATTCCAAAGATTCACATCCCTCTGAGAGAAATAATATCAGAGATAGTCAGAACTGCAGATGCTGGAGTATCTGAGATAACAAGGTGTAGAGCTGGATGAACACAGCAGGCCAAGCAGCATCAGAGGAGCAGGAAGGCTGACGTTTCGGGTCTGGACCCTTCTTCAGAAATGGGTTAGAATAATATGTTCCCTCATCTCTGTCTTAAATAGGCACCTCCTTATTTTTAAACAATGTTATTAAGGTGTAACTGGCTGGGTGGGGGGATTGAAAAGCAGTGGGGCTAGGAAGAGTGTTACCGTTTCCGCCCTACCCCAAGGCTGCTCCTTTCCTTACTGCGCTCCTGACAGAGACAGGAAAATGCAGACGGTCCCTGGGAGCGGGAGGGGGCGGGGCCCAGGGAAGGGGGTGGGGCTGATGCTATAAAAGGCGGAACAGGAAGTGGGGGCGCGGCAGAGAGAGCGGAGCCTGAGCAAGAGGCAGAGGGACCGGCAGGGACAGTCTGTGAGCGAGCAGGTAGGGGGGGCTCATCCCCACCCCCCACCCCCGCTCCCCCCACCCCCACCCCCACCCCCGCTCCCCCCACTTCCCTTCCCATCCCACCCCTTACCCCACTTCCCTTACCATCCCACCCCCTACCCCACTCCCTTCCCTTCTTCCTCTGCACTCTTCCCCCATTCTCCATCTCTGTCCTCACCCTCCCTTGTCCCCAGGGACACCAGCATGTTTCTCTCGCTGTGTGGGAGGCGGTGGTATTGATCAGTGAGGTGTGAGGGGTATGTTTTATTCCTCTTGGCCTTTTTCCCATGTGGGCACAGCTCTCGCAGAATGAATCAGGGAACAGATTTTTCTCTAACAAAGGAAAATTAGCTGTCACAGATCACAGACTGAATCTTCAGAATTGTGACTTAAACCTCCACTGATTTGATGGGAGCATTGGGGGGGCTGCTGTGCAAGGG